GACTTCAGCCGTCCTTACGAAATTGTAAAAAAATGTCAACAGGAATCGCGAGTTCTCTTCGGAGAGAATTCTTATCGAATGGCCAATCTCCTCTCGTGAACTCCTGGTGTACGGCTTTACGGCAGCGACAGAGGCGCTTTCTACCGTGGTACACCGGTCAAGAACTCCTCATAAACTTCGAATTCCAAGCGCATTTTAGATAACTGACACCAAATTGTGGTGATTTGCTGTCAGTAAAAACAGTGTCACAGATCAAAATGTCTTGAACAAGGCTGAAAAATTATGCACGACGTGGTCGTCAGCATCCAGCTTGCCAGTCAGTATGTAATATTCTGCTTTGGGGGTCCCAATGTGTGCCCTGAGATCAGTCGCTCGGAATGACTCAACAACAAGTCGATTGGACAGATGTCACGGGTGCGCTACGGACTAGAAGAAGGCGTGCCTTGATTGTACAAAATGTCAACCAATTTGGACCCAGCACCCATAGGTAGGCCATGCTCGACCAATCACGGAGATTCTAGCGCAACATTTTCAAACATTCTGTGGTGTTTCTATAGATGCGGTTGTGATACTCCTCTTTTTCCTCCATAAGAGGCTGTCTCAAGCTACCGTGCATCTCTATATCCCACGGTAGGTGGAGCAGGAAGCCAAGGAGTGACCTAGACGTTGCACCGCCGTTTGCAGTACACAACAGATTACGAAAGTTCGGGCCGTATGCAAACATTGACCAAACAAATCGGTAAAATAGATTTTAAGAAGAGAATTCCACCGAAAATGTCTAGAGCAGGAATCGCCCTATACACAAAACCACAAGTAGTCTTACACTGAAGTGCATTTCGCCCAACAACGTTGGGCAAGCAATCTAGAACGTTATCCCAAACAAACAACCCTTGGTGTGGACCAGCGGACCGGCCGACGTGAAGCTACATGTTCCAATAAACACGACTGAGAATGAATCGGCCAGTTACCCAAAACTGAATGAATGCGATCGGACTGGTCCATGTGACGAGAAAAATATCTGTTCCGCAGATGCGTCACTAGCGAAAATCGTTCGGCTGCAACATCCTTCCGGTGCCTAGCAGCCATGCTACCCGAAGGAAGCACGAGGGCTGGTATACTGCCAGGTTGCCCAGGCCTAGACAGGGGAAGTTGAGAGGTAGCGAAAAGGGGTGACGAAAACACAACCGCATATGTGAATACCAACCTCGTCATCTGTCCGGTTCATTTCATCCAAACCAATGAGAAAAAGCCGCAGACAACGATCCAAAAGAATTTTGCGTAGGATTGGTGATTCCTGAAGAAAAAATATGTAACAAAACGTAAAATAGAAGCTCAGTGACAACACAAATCTGCTAACCCGGTGATGACAATGGCTGGGTCACACTGTGGAAGAGTTTGGTTTGTTCGTGGGCTGAGCGTTTGCATAGATCAAGTTTATAAACAACTACCCCATTAAACCTTCCGGAACTACTGTGGGGTTTTGGGGGCTTTGAAGCAGGTTACGTGTGTAAGCGGAGCCAAGAAGTATAACCGAATGAATACAAAAAGTGACACACAGTGAGTACAGTATAGATACAAGTTTAACCCGTTGAAAGCAGGAACCTGGCGGAATAGTTTGATTAGTAAATATAGACGCACTCATCCACCTCCCATATGGGCCAGGTGCAGTAGGCAAGGTCACGGGAAATTACAAAGTTGTCTTACGTTTTCTCTAAGTCAACTGACTGCTGGGGCGCGTTTTGACGGTCAAAGCAGAACCTAGGGTGTGTAGTTTTCAATAGTAACAAGATGGAGGCCAGTTTTTGACCTGCTGTGGCAAAGAAGCAAGCAGAGAGAAGACAGTCTGAAGACAGTCTGACACCTAACTGTTCGTTGGTCGGACGATAGCGTATAAACATCCATGATCATCACTACCGACTGCAACACTAGTGGAGTACAGTGGGTTCTCGCTGCCGTACAAAAGTATGCAATGTGTAGCGATGAGTGGATTAACCAATTAGAAGACAGGCAAGCTCATAACTGACTGGTGAATACTGACAGCCTGGCTGACCGATAGGAGCAGGAAGTATAGACTCATCCGTCAGCGGTGTGGCCAAAATTCTCGCTGTGTGCGTAATATAGGGATGGTCGGAATGACTGTCTACAGTTTTTTAGGTCGTGTATACCTCAGCAGCCTTATAGGGATAATAGACCCCTCAATTCAAGGCAGCATCAACTTTGTCACCACCAATCGGATGACTCCATTCGGTGTTTACCGACGTTTCTGCTTTTACCGTTGCCCCCGGACAAAATAGGCTCTGGGAAACAGATGATTCCCGGCCAAATGCAATAAGTGATCCAACAGTCTACTTAATTGAGGGAACACGGAAAAGATGAACGAAAGTATCGGTCTCTTTATTCGCCAGTGCAATTCACAAGTTATTGCTTAACGCTAGCCCGACCTTACCACAAGATATGGAAACTACATGTATCAAACAAATGAAATACTTACACTGTGAAAAGGAGTCTGTTTGGATCCAGAAGATTCTGTCTTCTTTACGGATTCTGCTCCCTTGGTGCATTGATCAGTGCTATCCAAAAAGTGCGCCAGCTGAAGACGCAACTCGACGGAGACAGCAGTCATCAAAATCACAAACGGTTCACCGTTAGACTCGGTTGCCGAAATATAGCCTTTCAGCCAACCAAGCGACTTATCACTGTAGCAGGAAAGCGCCCAAAGTATTTCGAAAATGGCGTACCGATAAGCATCATCCTGAAGTAATTCTGAAAGCAATGATGGAGAATCGGGAGGAAATATCGTTGAAAATGTTTGATTTTCACCAAAACTTGGAATCGGATTCACAAGATAGCTGCCCTACCAGATTGTTGGAGGAATGTAATAGATATGCCTGGTGAAATATACTAATGATCTTCATTCAAGGAGGTTCAACTCGAGTCGACAGCAGTCAATAACATAGAGAGGATGTAGGGGACATTCCGACTTGACAGTCCAACAAACATCTCCGAATTCAAATAAAGTACGTGTGGCGATAGGAAATTAAGAAAACCAAATGAAAGATAACCGCTAAACTGCCGACAGACTTGTCAAATGAAATATCGGGATACAGAAAGGATTTCTTCTGAGTTAATCATGGCAAAAGAATTCCATAACTTAGACGAAAACAACATAAATAAATGGCTGAAACTCAACTATTCGTCTGTAAGCAGTCCACGATGAATTTGACCAAAACCTGGAGACTTTCATGCGTGGTGTTTCTGTACGCAGTGGATGTCAGAGCAGGAAACAGTCGGGAGGCCAGAAGAAGATAACGCCAGCTTTCCGCCTGCGGCTGGAAGAGGAACCAATACATAATTTTGCTATTTCAGTTTGGCATGCATTAGTTGGTTCGACTCACAGAGATGATAGACCGATCATCAATGCATGAATAGAATATTCGATAACCTACCGCGTTTTCATCAAACTATGATTGGGGGTATCCAAGGGCCCTCAGTTAAGAAGTTTCTAAAAGCACGATTAATCTGGGTTGGTTTCTAACCAACTTTGGTTCAAACGTTAATGCCTTAGTAATCTGCCGTATACAGTCGAGACAGATCATCAATGATCAGTACTCTTGAGGAGCTGATTAAATAGGGCTCTGTTAGGATCACGCGCAAGAGACTCGCAAAAACTAAGCCAATAAATCCCCCTTATTTAATTAGTAAATAGTAATTTAAAACTGGGGAACACCAAGCATTCAGGATGCTCAGTGCGCCCTTCGTATAAACACCGGCCTATGATCCCAAGAACCCCAAGTAGAGTGACCCGGTATCACAAGTTATACTTTTGAAATCAACTTAGAAAACCAACTGATTTATTTGTACTACTAACTACTAGTAAGTAGCGGTTTAATCATTTCCTGTATGCTGACCAACGTCATTTCCGGTATAATTATGTTGCTAGGTGTTTTACATAGTATTTCCAAATGAGGGACTTCACTACTTATTGATCATTCTGAGTAGCTGAAAATCTACAGGTTAAAGCAATATATTAGACGCTGAGGAACACCCACGCAATAAGTGGGACTTGGTGTGTGTGTGTGTGTGTGTGTGTGTGAATTCAACAAGAGTTTTGTACCGCAGTCTTGCCAGTCAGTACCAAGTCACGTAAGGAATTTAACCCGTGTTCCATCAACTGAAGCGAACTTGACCTCGTCAGAGTAATACCACATGCTATCCCGTATCTCGTATCC